AATTTGACTTGTCTGAATACTTGCTGCATGATTGGTGAAATAAGAATAATGCTTCCTTAAACATGTAAAAAGTATAATGTGCAACAAGTTAATACAGAAGTGTGAATTACCTATGTTGTTATGCTAATGCTGCAGCTGTATGCGTGCTTCTTAAATTTCTTTCAGATACCGTCAAAGTTGTCAGCGTTTCGCTTATGATAATCTTCCAACCGCTAAAGCGTCCACTGTTGGTTTCTGTCGTCTCAAATAATAATTAGATCTCACTTCTGTTTTTAATTTTTAACAGGCAGAACTTTCATGTAAAGAGCTGCTATTTCAGCTTCCAACAGTCAAATACTTTAAAAGCCGACTGAAAATTTGCTTATTTGTATGAGCTGTAGCAGTACAATCCAAAAAAAAACACACACGATGAGAATATAAAAGAGATTTGTTCTGATGTCTAGACCACAATATGTATAACAATTTGTGAACTTGCCACATGACTGACCATGCAGGATTTGTGGTATGAGGGCCATCTGTTGTACATGCTTGAGATTCTTGAAGATGACGACATAAAACTGTAAATATGGGTTATGTGATTTTCATATTCTACAGGAAAATCATCTTTGAAAACAGCTGCTGGCTGTGAAATTTTAGCAGAACTGAGTGTACATTGTGCAGCATGCAGTGGACTCTATAGAGTTACAGCCAGCTCCCCAACTGAACCAGCAGGAGGGATCAGAATGATATTTAAACTGTAATTTTGATGTTGATATAATTATTTGTATATTAACTTTGTCTTTTAACATGCTAAATAAAGATTTTTTTCAATGTATAATATAGCCGTGCTACTTCAGTTAGTAGATCAGTGTCACCTGAAGCAGTTTTGTGGTTTGAACTGACTATGGTCAGGTGGAACCTTTCTGTGTCTATTTTTACTGTGCGCCCCAGTTACTTTTCACCGGTTAAAGGTTTACATGCAAGCGTAACTAATGGTGCTAAGTTGGTTGCAGGAGTGGGGGCTGCTCTCTATATTAACCCTGTGATGGAGTAGTGACCCGTCCAGGACATTTTCCAATGACATTTGGGACAGGTTGGAGCTACAACCCTGAGTTGGATAAGCATTAAAAAATGATTTATGGATAATTATCTAAATTCCAGGATTGTGCATAAAGAAATAATCGTATTGCAAACTGGAAATTATACTGCACAGAAACATAGAAAACTGTGCTGGAGAACTGGTTTCAAAGACTAGACACTCTGACGTGCTGTTTGCTGAACTCTACCCGCTTTCTTTTGTCACAGTGAAAATCGTTGTCTAGATATAAGTGTTTTGTCTACATGTATTTCCAATAAATGTAACAGACAGTGTTGGATAATTATTAGGTAAATTTGATTCAATAACAAGAGGAAAAATAGTTGTTAAAAATAAAGAAAAAAAGTAATTAACAGTCAAATCAAAATGTTGGTTACTTAAAAAAATGGTTCAGCATCCCTATATATTCTTTCCTGTACATACTCTCTGTACTCATGCTCTGTTGCTTTGTGGTTTTTGCCAAACAGGAATATTTAAAATTTGGAAGGACAGGAGAGATAATGGAAGATTTTTTAGTGCAAAACCATAAAGGGTAGGATTGCTCAAACAAGTGTGTCTCTACTTGGAGAAAACTCCACATATTTCGCAGTTGCTGCACAAATTTTGAGCGCCGCTTTTCAACAGCAAACTGGCCAGCGCCTTGGAATAAAGCTAAAACATTCAAATGTAATATCAAAGCGCATGAAGGTTAATGCAACTACATCCAGTCAGAACAAAAAAAAAAGATTTATCCTACATCACCAGCTAGTTGATAAAAGATTGGACTATATTTTAGTTGGTGCTCACTGAGAACACTGCAAATCAGCTTTTCTTTATTCAGCATTCACACTAGCTAACAAATTTGGCAGGGCGCTAAACTTGTGACAACAGAATAGTTATTTGCTCACTCAGTTCTGAACTAACACCAGTTGCAGGTTGGTATATTCGTAGGCAAATGCGGGCAAAAAAATCGTGCTCAAGGTTAGACAGTCTCTTTCTCACACTGCTCAAATTCAAAGGATGTTGTTGTTGTTTATTCTAGTTTCCCCATATTAGCATCACAAAAGTGCAAGGTTGGCTCTTTTCCACCTTAATTATTAGTATTCCAAACAGGTGCAGGAAAATGCAGCCAACACTCCACATATAAGTAAATCTATTAAGCTGTTCCAGAATATCCACTTGAATGAAACAGCAGACAGAAAGTTATAGTACAAACAGAAAATATAAGTACAAAGAGTAAAGTCTTATTTTATTTTGCCTCAGCTTCTATAGATGGTTTAAAATAGTTTTTTCTTCAGTGCATTCAATTTGTTTAAGGATGAGCTTAAACCTCTATCACGGCTTTCAAGTAAGACTTTTAAATCGGGCAATTATAATGGGCTATATTTAATTTGAACTTTTTTCCTTTAGTAATGCATAAGTGGTATAAAACCCTTGGTCACAGGATACTGGAAGAAGAAATGGGGGAAGCTTTTGCTTTTTTCTTTTATAGTCTATTTAATATTCCTGCAGAAGTTGAGTTTAGAGAGACAAAACTCTTATGGTTTCTGTTACCTAAATTCATTCCCACAAAATTGACTAGCCACAACACCTACATTAGATACTCTACACAAGATTTGACACTAGATCAAATGACATAAATTGAGATAAGAGTCTTCGTATTTTACAGTTCCTTTGTTATATCAGAAAAAAAATTGGCTTGAGAACATGATCTGGTTGAGAGTGAAGGAATCGTGGTGTAATCTGGCAATAATAATATCAGATGGATGTTCACTCATTTTGCTTTTTATTATTTTCTGTCCAGTTTCTTTTATTGGCATCTGGTTAAAAACACATATTATTTGCTTTGATTAGGAAAGCTCGGGTATTTGCGTTATTTGGATCGGCATGGCCGATATCATTTGTGGCACCAAAAGAAATGGAAAGTCTGAAAATTAGAATCTAAGATCTTACAGTGACTTGCAAGACAATTGGTATGAAGCGGAGATGTCAAACTCATGGTCAGTGGCCACATACAGACTGATTTAATCTCATTTTGGTCAACTGTTGCACAATACCCGATTAAACAAGACCTCAGACTTTTTGCCCCTCTTTTAGTCTTAAAGAAGTAGAGGTACATTTTAACAGTATTTAAACTTCAAGCTTAAAAGTCGTTTATGAATCCATTATATTTCATACAGGAATATGCCACAAAAATGTCTTGTTTCCTAATCTGATAGAAGTTCTAAAACCTTCTTAGATAATTAAATAATTTTATTTTTCAACAATTTTACGCAAAGAAAAGTTAACCCAATTCATCTCCGTCAACTGAATGGCTTTCATCATCACTTTTGAATTAAGTATCTGCCTACAGTAAAGCTTGATATTCCAGGTCTGACAGCCATGGATTACTGCAAAACACTACAAAGCAGTGATTAGAAGTGGTAAATTAAAATAACACAAGTCCATAATGATGACAAGCATGCGTATATTTACATAGCAATAAATTATCCAACAGAACTTTCTATTGTCCCTGCCACACTAACAGACTGGTTCCTGCAAGAAACTATGAAAAATTTCAAACAAAGTGGACAAATTCATGGGTGGGAAGCATTTTGATAATTAAAAACATCACATAGGTACATATAAATGTATGACTGGCATCATAAATGACCACTACTTGAAGATTAATTAAATAATAAAACAAATATCCGAGCTGTATTGTGAAAAAAAAGTGCTGTTGGTCAGTTTTTCCATATTCAGTCAGGCTGCCATCGTTACAGTTAGTAATGCATAGGCACGGCTCCTTAGCTTAACCATCCCTATAATTGAGGCGTCGTGGTAGGCCGTGCTTTTGAGAAGTCTGACAATGAATAACACCTCGTTCGGACAAAGGCCAACATTTCAAATAATCACCTTTATAATATGTTCAGTTCTTAACAACTTGATACACAACGCTTCCAAAATTCGGTCAAAAACTGATTTCCTACTTCCGTACATATGCTGCTGTTAAGGAAATTTGACCTGTGAGTTTAGTGAGGATTTTCTTAATTACTCTCTAAAAATCTAAAAACAGATTTTTGGGGCCAAAAAAAGGTACATTTAATTTGGCAGATTAACCTGTTAATCTGTCAAAATTTTATTTAAAAAAAAACAAAAACTTTTTTTTTTTTACTATTTGTGATGTCTTCACATGCATTGTCTGAACAAGGCCAAAATACTGGAAAAAACGTGCATGCTTTCACATATAAGAAACTGGAACTAGGATGAGTTTGTATTTTTGGTTAAACTGATGGAAGAGAGAAATGTAATCTAAACAAATGCTAATTTTACAAATGTCACAATGTTCTGTTATAGTAAAAATGTAATATTGACTATGTTACGTAGAGTTTTCCTTTTCCCTTAAAAAAAATGTTGTTCTTTGTTTTGTAAACAATTACTTTATTGTTTTGAAAAGTTTTGGTGTTTGAAGAACAAACTTTCCCTCTTACACGTGTTCATTTGTGTATGTGTATGTAGATGCCAGCCAGGGCCCCTCTCACCTGTAAGTTGAAGTCTCTTCATATATCTTCCTCCGTCCTTCTTTAAACAGCTGTAGAGCCCGCTCTGTCTTATCAAAGAGGTTTTTGATATGGATCCTCAGGTACTCTGCCTCGTCTCCGTGTGGCACCTGTCCACCTGCTGTCCTGAAGCCTTGGAAAGGCTCCCACACCTGGATGAGCAGCACTGAGGTCTCTGACAGCAGCTGTGGTAGGTATGGCGGACTATTTCTCAGTCCAAGCCGAGGGGTACTGCACAGCTGTTGGAGTTTATCCAGTCTTCTGAGGGTCTTGCCCACGAGCCGAAGATCACCACGAGTGGGGGGCCCGGAGCTCAAATTCGGGCTCCTGGACGCGCCCAAATCTGCTGCCGCCATTGTTCTGCTAATGTGAGGTTTCAGGTGAAGTCAACCAAAAACTCAGTCTGTGAGTCTGTGAGTGTGTGGGGGGTGTGTGTGTCAATAAATATCTACAGTTCTGCTGTGTCAAGAGATGTGTAATCACAATTTTTGAATGTGTGTGAATATTCATAAGCAATGAAGCTAGTGGTTGGTTCAAGTTTTTGAGCGTTCACTCTGATATTTGTCTTTAGAACGATATTTGCATGCCATCATGTTAATCTCAGAAGCATGCATCTTGTCCTCCTTAAACTGCATCCATTGTTGAGCCATAACAATCCAGTAGCATTACATTATCCAGCAATAGACAATAGGAGCAGTTACAATTACGTTTCATTTAAAAAGGAAAAGAAAAGTGTGCTCTTTCAGCCAATACAAGCCACTACTACTGATTTTTTCGCTCACTCCTGTGTTCGTCTTTCAGAAATACAAAAATACAAGTGCTACAAAACAAATTCTACATTGTAAGTTTAACTTAATACGGACCTTACAACACAAGAGGCCAAGAAAAGCACTAAAAATAAAACACAAAGAGGCACTGAGGCTAACACCAAGCCCTCAAAACATTTGAAACTTCTGCCATCACGCTCCCTTCTCCTCTCTCTCTCTTTCTCTCCACCCCTACACATTTATAGCAGATTTTAAGCACTGTACTCTTGCTTACCAACATCTCAGCAGCAATGCAGTCCTAGAGCTAGTGCATCTACTGTCAGCGCAGCGGAAACGTGTTTTCTGTCATGGCCTGAAACATTACTGTTTCTCCTTTGTCTTGCTTGATGTCACTCTGCCCCTCGTCTTGATTGTCTTGCTGCAACCAGGAAACCAAATAAGTTTGTTTCTTTGGTCTATTGCTCAGGCAGACAAGCGGAGGGAGAGAGAGAGAGAGAGAAACAGAGGGAGGGAGAGAGGTGGGTGGCAGGGAGGGAGGAAGACAGAGAGGTGTGGACTCAAAACCAAACTTTTAATAAGAATGAAAGCAGAGTGCAGCTAAACTAGTCACTATCCAGACAGGTATACAAGTAACTAATGAGCTGGACGCCTGAATACAAAGGTCAAAGAAGCGTCATCTTCACCTCACTGTTTTCTCTGTATAACGTTCAAATTAAATTTATTTACTCTGCAATTAGATTTTTATGTAATATTCTGTCTGGGATAAAAATGTAAAAAACCAACTGCCCCCAAACTTTTGTATCGATTGATGTAACATAGATTAAGTTTATCATCAACTGACTTTTCCTCTAGCACCACCATGAGGCAGGTGTTTGCTAGTTTTAAGATGATGCTTTAACCTTTGTCACGTATGAACAGGGTGATTTCACGCAGAATATTAACTTGTCCTTCAGGGCTATAGAATTTTTATGACAATGGCAATTTTATTTATATAGCACATTTCATTACATGTAAACTTCATAATCTTAACACCTCATCTGCTGTGCTTTTCAAAACAGTTTGAAGACTTCTGGGCACTGAGTTTATAAATTTCTTGAGTTTTGGTGTCAGAATTTAGTCCCATTCTTTTTTCTTTAAAAAATTTTTTTGTCCTATTGTTGCCTGATATAGGTTTTCAGCTGCTGAAGAGTTTGTGGTCACACTTGATGTATTTTTTTTATTTAATCATGCAGCAAATAAGGTGAAAGATCTGGACTGCAGTCCAATTCAGCACTCTGACTCTTCTCCTATGAAGCCATGCTGTTGTAATAGCTGCAGTACGTGGTTTTGCATTGTCCTGCTCAAAAATACAAGGCCTTCCTTGAAACAGACATCATGTTTAGGGGAGCATATGTTCCTCTAAAACCTTTATATGACTTTTAGGATTCACAGTTCCTTAAAAAACATGCAAGCTGCCCATACTGTGTACACTTACACTGCATCCCTATACCATCAAAGAACATGCTGGAAGGTCTCCCTCTACTTTAGCCTGGAGGCCACGGCGTCTGTGATTAACAACAAGAATATAAAATTTGGACTCATATGACCATGGATCAAATTCTGACTTTTAAAATGAGTCTTGGCCCACAGGACACAACGGCGTTTCTGGAGTATGTTTAACTATAGCTTCCATTTCATTTGATAGAGCTTTAGTTGCTCTCTGAATCTTTTGATGATGTTATGCATGTTATGTTATGTTATTTAGATCATGAGAGTTGCAAAGTCTTTGCAATTTGATGTTGGAAACACATCAAATTGGATGTTGGGAAACACTGTTTTGGAAATATTCCATTATCTTTTTATGCATTACTTCACCGATTTGACAGCATTTCCCAATCTTTAATTCTGAAACACTCTCTCTCTCTAAGACGTCCCTAGCTAATCATGTAACGGATCACTTAGCTTAATTACTTTCTAGATTAATTGCTGGATGTTCACCCTTTTTGACATTTTCCACTTTTTCAGCTGTTTGTTGCCCTGTGCCAGAATTCTTTTGACCTGTAGAGACATCAAATTTAAAATAAACACTAGTGGATGAAGGTGTCCAGTTTCCCAGTTTGAACATTTGTTCTATTGTTCATAAAATATTGTCTTTTAGTTTTCATTATGTTCAAATTTAAAGAATGTCACAACTTTTCTGGAATTTGTACTGTACTTGGGGACCAAGCCAGAGCTTTGTGAACTAATATACACATTTTTAAGGTAATTATATATAGCTATGGGAGCCAATGAAGTGTTTTCAATCCTGAGGCAATGTTATCACATTTTCATGTATCTGTGAGGATTCTGGCTACTGCATTTTTTATGTTTGTCCTTTTTTAAATCATCTTATATCAGCACAACTCAACACACCTCCCCGGTATTTAGTAAAACTCAACATATACATTGTTCAAGAAAATATCATACAGTTTTTAAAGAGCAAAATTTGCTGTTTTTGTCAGTTTCTGTGGTCAGGTATTTCTTTCATACTTTGCTATCCACCTAACCACTTCATAGCAAAGAGCACTGATCTGCTAATGGCTTTTCAGGAGACTGATAGTACAAATAATAACCATGTCAAATATACGATGTTCACAAAATGCTAAAGTTAAAAGAAAACAAACTAAACATTAGTCTGGAAGACCTCCAAGTTTTTCATTTGGATTCATCACTTCTTAAAATCTGTTGCTACTAATTTTTAGTCCAGTTCATGTGCAGTTTGTTATACCTCAGCCTTTTCTCCATTTTCCCCTTCATTAAGAATAAGATCTCGACAGGCACCTTTCCACCGAGAGCATTTCTGATGAGGCTTCAGTGAACAGTATTGAAAGGCCAGATGCATCTTTTAGGCTCAGTGTCAGATCCATGTTGGATTTGTTCCTTTTTCTTAAGGACACGACTTAAGGACACTCATCTACCGTATATATTTTTTTCTAGGCCTGACACTTCAATCAATACATAAAAGGTGAAAATAGTCAGGTAGGAAGACTGAACAGAAAATGAGTGAAAAGGCAGCCCGAGAAAAACTTTAAAAGACCAACTACAGATCAAGTCCTTCTAAAAATAATTACAACAAAGTCTGGTTCCGTGGAAGGAAAAAAAATGAAGCAATGAGAGGTGGCTTGAGACTTTTGCACAGTATGTAAACTGTACTGGGACTCAATCCAGAATGGCCAGGAGCAGATACAAATCCCCAAGTGTGAAATATAAATGAAAAGATTTTCACTTTACATTTACTGACATATTTTCATTCTTGCTCTTTTTTGATACTGAGTTAGTGTCTTGTTTAAATTACATTTCAAATAGGTATTACATATACATATAACATATGTAGCTTTTTTCTTTAATATTTTGGACAAATATTGCCGTTTTAACAAATAACCTGTTTGCTTAAACAGCAATGAAATCATATTTTTACAGTAAGAGGAAACATTTTTTTTTTTTTTAGTGTTAGTACATTTTTTTCATCACGTCTATACATAGATACATCTAATCATGCATCGTCTAAATGAAGCCTGGCTTGAAGTATCCACAAGGGGGAGACACTAACTCAGCCTATCAGACTAAGCACATCCAGTTTTCAGCTGCCAGTGCAGTCTTTTCATTTTATTTTTATTTTTACTTTACTTACATTACTTTTCACTTAAATTCCAGTTGACTCTGGGTTAAGTGAAGAACATACATATCACATTTTAAAAATGCTTTGGTCTTTTGACTCACTAAAAGTCATTGGTACATTTTCTGTAGCTGTAAATGCTACAGTAGGTTAGTGCTCCTCCATCTGCTAGTAATGACAGCTATCAAACCCACTAATCAGGGGAACACATCAGAAGTTTGTTTAGGCCCAAATTATTTATTTATGTTTTTGCAAGATTCAATTCATGTCTGCATTTTTTAAAAAAGATTCAAGACACACCTGTGCTCTCAGAGCACAAGGGGGCCCCATTTCAGTGTTTTGCAGCTTGTGTCCATATTTTACTTTCTATCATCTATGATTATTACTTCAGCTGAAGCCTGAATTAAGTCCCTAAAATGTTAAATGAGTGTGAGAAGATGTTCTGTTGACATATATTTGCATCTTCTTAAATGTCACCAAACTTCAGCAAGTGTCTTTCATCCTGCTGTAATCGATATGAAGTGCGTGTTCAGGATCAGGCCGGGTGTAAAAGAAGTAAGCATGTAATTTTCATAAAGGCTGACACTTAAATCCAGACCATAATGCATGAATAACCCAACAGCTGCAGATCTTGTTTGTATAGTGTCAGGGCTTTTTAGGGACTTTAGACACTATACTTAACTTTCCGTTGCCCACTCCACACTTCAGTGGAAAGAGGAAAGTCCCAAATTGACCAAGGTAATCTGAACATGGCAGAGGGTGGGGTGGGATAAGATTAAAGATAAGAAGACAAGATGTGATTTTTGCATGTGTTTGCATTTTCAGGATTGCATGCAGAATTTGATATCAGGAAAGGTGGGTACCTGTAAGCGTAGCAGTAACATGAATTAACTGATGAGTCAATCTTCCTTTATCCCTAATCCCTTTGGGGGTTGCTTGAATTCAGCTCTGATCTGCAGCCTGGTGATATCACCAACTCAAGGCAAGGGATAAACTAATCAAATATTTGAGACAAACGCTGACAATGTCAAATTAAGCCTTTTTTGAACTAAGGCAGCATTGTGGTGAAGGTGTTAGCAGTCAACTCCACCATCTGGCTGGGACCCCGTGTTTGCACGGTTTCTCACAGACATGCAGTTAGTGGGGTTAGGTTAACTGATAATTTTTTAATTGCCCCCTAGGTGTGAGTGTGAATGGTTGTCTATATCTCTGTGTTTGCTCTGCGACAGACTGGTGAGCTGTCCAGGATGTATGCAACCTCTCATCATTAGAGGATCCTTGAAAATTTCAAAAGGGAAGTTTACCTTTCAAAATCGTTTGTCTTTTGTCACCTCTTCCTTATGAAATGTGTTTGCATGCCACATGACAGAAACAGCTTAAAATACTCTAAATACAAGGTAGAAGCCATGGTCCAAGCATGTGGCTATGGTTGCACAGTGAACATATTTACAGTAACAGAAAGGAAAACACTAAATGCATTGTTGGAGTAGCTTGTTTCAGTAACTTGCTGGTTTCAGTAACTTTCTGGTAGCTGCACTACTTCTTTGCATAATGAGTTGAGTAGTTCAACTATTCCTTTGCTAGTCTTTGCTTACTGAAAACACAGAGAAATCTGGGGCATGACCTTGATATAGATCACAACATTGAACTATAAAGGTATGGCCAGCGCGTTTGTCAGGCAGGGCACCACCACAGACAGCATACAAAACGATGTCACACATTAATTTGTGGTCTGCTTTATAACTGTCACAATGTTGTTTTATTAGATGTCATAAAATTTAGAAGAGTCAAAAAGCTTGCAAACTTGATTTTC